CCACATATCTGCCCTTCTTTTTTGTATGTGACTTCAGAGTGGCTCCCTTAGATTTTCTCTTGTGGCCCCTTACCACAGAGGAAGTAGTTGGTGTCTCCTATGATCTTAAATTTTTTCTGAATGAGAATGCTGCCTCATAGGAAAATAGGAATGAACAGATCAAGTTCATCAGGGAGGAATGCTGAGGGTTGATTGGGAAAGCAAGCCAAGAATTCGGCTGTGGTCTGAGGGTAGCCACAAGAATGGGTATGAGTAGAATCAGCTGGAGGAGAGGCAAGTTCAACAATAAGGTGGGCTTTGGAATGTCAGATACATAGGAGTCCTCCTCCAAACCTCCGACATTTAATTCATCACCAGTTCCCATTTCACCCCCTAAAGATCTCTCAGATGAGAGAATTCTTTTCTATATCCAGCGTCACTACCCAAGTCTATAACCACCATCGTCTTTCCCCTTGACTTCATATCTCTCCTTATCTACCTTCATCTCTCTCCTCCAGTTCATCTCCACAGTGCAATGAGGGATCTTTTCAAACTGAAAACAGAATCCTCTCTTTTCCTTGCTTAATAAAAGACTACAATAATTTTCTAGGTAGGACAAAACTAAAATCCGGAGCATACCAATAAGGTCCTGCTCCAGAATGTGACCCAACCCACCTCTCCTGCCTCATCTCATACCACTCTACTGTAGTTCTCAGCAACCGAGATACATTAACCTACTGTCAGTTCTAGGACTTGCCCTATTCTCCTCCACTAGGGCCTTTGCACATGCTTCCCCCCTCCCCGTGCATTGGATCTCTCTCTCTCTCTCTCTCTCTCTCTCTCTCTCTCTCTCTCTCTCTTCCCTGGCATCATTAATCATGCTTAGTCCTTCAGCTTACATGTTGAGCACCATGTCCTTGGAAGACATCCATTGAGTCAGAATCATTAGCCAACCATTTTGTGAGAGTGTATGACTTTTCTTCTAAGCATCTCACTTAATCTGTGGTGATATCTGCACAAATATCAAAATATCCACAGGACTTTCAGACCCACGATGGCAGAGACTATCTTCATTTGTGCTCGTTGCTATCAGCATAAACAATATACTCAGTAAATATTTGCCTAATGAATGGATTGAGGGATCCGAGATATCTTCTGAAAGAAGATATAAAAATAAAATTATTTTGTGTTAGTTTGTTCTTAAAGGAAATAAGCACTAAAGAAAATGCAAAAGTACTCTCTGATTATTTGATTGTAGAGTAATACGAAGACCTTATCCACTGGATAGGAACTGAGAAGATGAATACCTTTGGCTTCCCTCTGTGTAGTTCAAGCTGGGGCTAAGAGGTAGAATTTCAGGTTAGGAAGAATATGTACAGAGAAGTGCCCTGTAGTTTTGGCAGTCAAAGACATTGCTGCTTTCTCCAGTAAATTGAATTTCTGTGGCCTGGGGAAGGCAAGACCCAGAGTAAAGAGGCTCTAATATGCGTGGTCATTTCCTAGTTTGGGGAATAAGAGGAGAAAGGTGAGGTAGCTGAAATAAAATGAAGAAATAAACAAAGGGTACATTTATTTGAGTGAAAAAATTTTTTAAAGAGCCTTGAAAACCCCAGGAGCTCCTCAAGATGTTTATGTAATTGAATATAATTTATCTGGGATTGAGAGGAATAATAATCAAAACATTTTTCACTTAAGTGCATCTGGAGGCATATGAAATTATACTCTTGATGGTGGCCTGTGCTGGGTGGTGTCCTTGGTGTTTTGTCCTTGGGCTGCGGGCTGGAAATGTGTTTTATAGAACAGACATGGAGCACAAAATATTAAACAAATTTTACCGTATTCAAAATGCCCAACAGTGAAACATCCTCCTTGTTTGGCAGGGAGAGAGCTCAGCATTTGGAAACTCAGCAGTGCATTAAGTATTTTAATAATCATTGTTGACACACAAAACATATGGCCTTTCAGAACTCACTGGGTCAAGTGTTGAAGTTGTCTTCTTGGTTCCTTAAACTACCTTTCAAAATTCAATCAAAATTTAATTAGGGCACATTTCAAACTATAATAATACATGAATTTTGTGTTATAAACAAGTGAAGTTTTTTTTTTTTTTTTTTTTTTTTTTTTTTTTTTTTTTTTTGCCCTAGGATAAAAGAGTATTTTATGAGTAACTGATTGTATTAATGTACAGGAAAAAGTGAAATTCACATCCCTGCCAGTTAATTTGCATTTAGTTAGAAAATCTAGAATCTCCACATTTAAGTAGTCAAGTCTTAGAGTACCTCCTAGCCATGCTTTAGGATCCACCACAGATATCCCCTCATCCCCAAAGCCTTCATTGTCTGTTCCCTTACTGTTTACATCCATGATTTTTGGCTATAGCAGTGCCATGTGGTAAGCAGCCATAATATGCAGTGGCTCAAAACAGCATGCATCTTTTTATTGCTCACAAATCTAGGGAATAGCAGGGCAGTTCTGGTCTCCTATGGGTGCACTCCATGTTGGTGGTCAGCTATGGGCCAGGTAGGGGCTCTGTTAATAATGGCTGGGCTCCCCTACAGCTGGGCTCTCCTTTTCATGTCTCTTGCATGCACGCATCTCTCACACCCCTCCAGATGGCCAGCTGGGCTTATGTTCAGGGCACTGTCAGAGAAGCAAGTCAGAAAGTAGAAACATGCTAGCTTTTTTCAAGCTCCCAGTTTCATTACATTTTATTAGCCTCCCGCTAGCCAAAGCCAATCACCATCAAGCCCAGAGTCCATAGAGGAGGAGGCTACAAAGTTACAAGGCAAAAGGGTAGGGATACGGGAAGGACATTAGTTGGGGCTTTAATGCCATCATCCTACAATGCCACCCCAACTCTACCAGCATTAATCATTCTCTATTCCTCACTCTTAGCTCTGCTGTTATATTTCCACTGTTGTGTTACAGTTGCTGACTTAACTGTCTTCCTTAAAATATACTGTCCCTTATGGCAAGGTGCATTTGTTCCTAGACATTTCTTGGCCACTTGTTTTATGTCTAATCCTTTCTTGCCACCCCAGTGCCCAGCACTAGTCCTGACACTGGACAGAGGCTCAGTGAGTGAGCGTTTAACAAATGCGCATGTGAAAGTCCCTCCCCTTCACAGTCCCACTCCTCCCCTCTGGAACCGGACTTTCTCTCCCCACCCCCATTCTTTTCAAGGAAGGTTGAAAATCCCTGATACTTAGCTCATTTTAAACTCTTTTTAGTCAGAGCTCCTGAGTAAGCTCTGCAAGCTTCAGCAGTGAATGATAGGGCACCAGGATTGTGTGAGATCATGGTGTGGGCAGTTGGAGAGGAGCTGATGGCTGCTGTTTTCTGATCTTCCCAGATCTATGGAAAGAATACAGAAGAATTCTTAGGAAATGCTTAATATAGCTATTGAAGCTGCTCATACAGCTTCTATTCTATTAATTCTATTGATATGGTATTAAATGTACCCCTTCCTTATTTTCTAGTTTCATAGAATCCTACAGGGAAAACTTGATTTTGGGTAGAATCATAATTTTAAGCTTTTTTATTTTCCAGGGAATAATAAGTTGATTGAGTGGCAGAGTAGCATGACATTGGAGTCAGGCAGGCTGATTCAGGACGCCAGCCCTACTCCTAAGTTACCTCCCTGGTAAAGCCTGTCTTCATCAGTAAGAGAAAGTAGTCAGAATATCCAAAATAAAATAATGTTGGCATGCATGTGATCAGTCAGCTGTAGCAATTGGTAATTTTGCTCTTGTTATGTAATGTCCTATACTTTGATAAGCTGAGAATGTGGTAGTTGTATTAGTGACACAAATTATTGTATTCTATTAAAAACAATCTACTTGTTTTCTTAAGAAAATAAAATCACCACTTTTTAAAAGACTTCAAATATTCCACTTCTAAAACCACTTCAAATATTATACTTTAATATGAACCCTTTGAAATGACCTGGAAAAGTTACTCATTCTGTCAACAAGTGTGTACTCTGTACCTGCTTCATATCAGCTTGTCAGGTGGTATAATGGTGAGCATGACCGATACTGGCCATGCCACCTGGTTTACCATCAGTGAGTCAGTGTTACCTCCAACTCTGTTACCCACCTATATCTAAACTTCACGAACTACCTGAGATAAATTAATATTTTAACTCACCATGTTGAATATATTAAATAGCTACAGCTTCTTATTTATCAGTCATACCTCAGTAAAACAAAATTGGCTGGCTTTCCCTGGTGAGAGTATGATGTGCTGACACTTTGGATTGGAGGAAGGAGAACTTTTGACTTTGTAATTTTTCAAGTAGCTGCATTAAATGTTTAAGCTTTTTATTTTATTGGAAAATAATGCAGAAAATTAACATTTGTGAATCTTTTCCTGGCCTTCACTCCCTCCCGGATTACTCTTTGGTGCAGGGAAAGGTGGAAGATTGTTATTGTACATTACTATTAATAAACATTGAGTTTGTCAGTAAGGATAATTTTTTAAACTGTGGCAAAAGTGTAATATCTTAGATTGGCTCCTGAAACAGAAGAGGAACATTCATGGAAAAACAGGTGAAGTCCAAATAAAGTCTATAAATTAGTAAATAGTATTGTATCAGTGACAATTTCTTTTATTCTAACAAGTGTTGTGTGAGATATTATCATTGGGGAAAGCTGAGAGAAGAATGTATGGGAACCCAGCTTCCAAGTACTATGGGAAAACCATAGGGCTATTTCCTAGCCACCTTGGACTTCTCCCCCTGTGATTAGTTTGTAAATGCCTTGAGAAGGCATAAATTTTAACACTAGACTAAGAAAATCGTAATAAGAATGATAAGTCGGCTGTAAAATTATAATGTTCAGTACTCTCATTTGGGCCTTTGGAACTAAAGAATGGATGTTGTAGGATCTTTTCATTTGTCTGGAATGTTCAAAGGCATATTCTTGTATAAAAGAGAAGCCCTGCTATTGGTCTTTTGTCACCTGCAAATTTTAACTATTTGAGGGTCTGAGTGGTTCAGAGATGTCCTTTTACTTTCATAGGTACAGACACAAGTACGCCTTGCAAAAAAAAATTTTGACAAATTGAAGATGGATGTGTGTCAAAAAGTGGATCTTCTTGGAGCAAGCAGATGCAACCTCTTGTCTCACATGCTAGCAACATACCAGGTAACAAAGTGATGTCTGTCTCAATGAACAAAGAGTGGCATGAGGCTAAGACAATAGAAAAATGATGTTAGAGCTCAAAATATGGTTTAAGAATTAGTAAGTTCTGAAAGCCTTTCTCGTAATTTACTTCTAACACCTCTGCCTTCCTAGCATCTCACGGTTTAACCAAACCATGTACAATAATAGCTGTTCCCTTGTACATCCACTGTATTTTCGCCTTCCCTGCATTGACTTGGGGAGTCCTTTCCGCCTAGAGCACCTTTCCCCTCCATCTTTGCCATTCCAAATTCTGTTCTTTTCAAAGTACTGGACCAAACGTCAAGTTCTTCAGTAAGCCTCCTCTGGTCTCCCTTTGCCCTGTCCTTTCTTTGTCTCATGGCCTTCTTTCCTCCTTAGGTTGTCATAATTCAACATACTTGCTTTTGTCTCTCCTCATAGCCTCTGAGTTCCTTCAGAATAGCATCTGTGTCTATCATCAGTGCTGTAGACACCAACTGAGTGTGAGAGACTGAATGCTGAGTGTTATAGGGAATATAAAATTAATAAGACCAGGTTCCTTGTCCTCAAGGAACTCAAAGTTTAAGAAGAAAAGTGGAGAGAGTAAGGTCTGACTATAATTCCTAAGCCTGTAAGACAGAACGAGGGGACACTAAACAAAATAGTTCTAAAAGCCAAAGAGGGTTTGAAGAGGGAGCAATCCAGTCATTTGAGGGATCCCAAAAATAGATTCATGACCAGCCCTGGCTTTTGGAGGACAGATTGAATGAGAAAGAGAATGGAGAGAGAGGGTCCCAGGTGGTGGGAGCGACAGAAGCCAGGGACGCATTTACTTTGGCTGAAATGCAAGGTGTCCCAGGGCAGAGTGGGAAACTCAGTGTAGAAAAGCATCAGAATCACATCTTAGAGGACCTTGAAAGTGACAGATGGCACACTTCTCTGGGGCACAGGACTGGAACTGCACATTCGAAATATTAATAGCTTTACCATCTCTCTTGACAGACCACTCTGCTTCATTTTTGGGAGAAAACTTCCCATACTATGGCAGCCATCCATGAGAGCTTCAAAGGTTATCAGCCCTATGAATTCACTACACTGAAGGTAGGAAAACTGAACAGACCACCAGAGAGTCTTATGAAAAATCAAGTTTTGCTTATATTACCAGCAATGTCCATTACAGTGAGGTTTATTATTCAAAGACCCCAAGTGTTAAAGAGAACTGTGGTCCCTGGCAGAGTCTATTTTACCATATCTGTAGTTAGTACCATGATAGCCCACTGCAGTCCTAAAACATAATGAACCTTGGGACTCACATGACTGGGAGGTGAATTGTGGGAAACTCAATTACTTCTTCTTTATTTGATTTTATGGTGCTGGGAATTGAACCCAGAGCCTCTCACAAGCTAAGCAAGTGCTCTGCCATAAGCCACACACCCCCCACCAGTCCTACTTTTTAATTATTAAATTCAAATCTGCTCACTTCAGAAGGTATATCTTTTTTTACTTCTTCTGAAAAATACCTTTTTTAATTCTGAGAGTGCCATCCAATGTAGAATTGGATTTTTCCATAAGACTGGTAAATTTTTTCTAACTGAAAAAGCAACAATAGACACAAGATCGTCTCAATTCAGAAGGAATGCATGCACACTGTCTGATTCTTAGTATTGAAACTGAATCGGAATTGTTTTTCTCTCTAATGGATACTAGAGATGAATGCATATCAAGGTAAGGAAGCATTTTGGTTCCAAAAGGATTTTAAGAATGGTAAGAGAGTAGTGGGTGCTTTGTTACTAGATCATATCTTTGAAAGAAAAGTTTACCTTGAAATTGCCTTGCTTCTAATTTTTTAGGCAATTTGTGTCTTATCACCTTGCTTGCCGTAACATCAAAACATTAAAAAGCTGCTTTTTCTTAAAATGCTTCATTGATTTTGAGATGTTTATAGTGTATCCGAATCTATTGAAGTACTGAAACAGAAACACTTTAAGACCTGCCCTTAAAATGAAGGTCCCAGGAAGAGGAACCCAAGAAAGTCTACTTAGTGTGATATACCTGACCTGACTCTAGACAGGACGCCTACTCCCCCCTCACCCTTTCATTGGTGCTGATGTGCTGCGTGGTAATTACATTCAGAATATGCTCTGTTTGGCTCTGTGAACTATAAGTATGTAAAGGGGAAACGTGTGTGTGTGTGTGTGTGTGTGTGTGTGTGTGTGTGTGTTATTAGGGATTGAACAACCCAGGGGCATTCTACCACTGAGCTACATTGCCAGTCCTCTTTATATTTTGAAACAGGGTCTCACTAAATTGCTGAGGCTGACCTTAAACTTGCAATCCTCCTGCCTCATCTTCCTGAGTAGCTGGGATCACCACCGTGTCTCACTGATGAGAACCAAAAGATTTTATGTATCCTCTCTTGTATAGCCAAATTTTTTGCACACAGTTAGGCAGCAGATGTCTTTACTCTGGCAATGTTGCTGTTGTTGGTAAGGCTGTGTTTCTTCTCTGTAATATACTGCTGCTTTCAGCACCTCAGAAAGTAGCCATCCACCCCAAGGCAGATGGGTCAAAATGATAACTCATGCCATTCGCAGTTCTTACACAGGCCTGAGCAGAATCCCGTGGATCACTCTTCCATAAGGCATATTGAGGAATCAGATTTGATTTTATTTACAATACCCAGGGTTATTTGCCTTTTGAAAGTCAACTGTACATAACATAAATTGTCCAACTGTAAGATGAAATAGTGCCTACCCTAAACACAATTACAACGAACTTCATATTTGAGTTAGTTGCATATGAAGCACAACATAAATTCATGAGATTGAGGCTGTTACATGAATGAAAAAACCCACATGTATATCCTTGGCTTTCTGTGCTGAGGAAAACACAGCTCTTCAATTTTCATCCTGCTCTTTATCCCACAGAGAGGACCAACCTGATTGTATCAGAGGATCTCTGAGCAGAGAATTTAGGGAAAGGTTGACAGCCATGGTTCAGGTCATAAGTCCACTCTGGGCAGATGAGTTTCCATTACCTTTTATATCACCAGAGCCTTCCTTAAGTTTTGGTTTAAGTGATAGCTCATAGTTTAATTATAATATATTAGGAGGAGCGTTATATCATTAAAGTATATTGATGTTATAATAATATTAAGAATAAGTGTCGGGCTGGGATTGTGGCTCAGCGGTAGAGCGCTCGCCTAGCATGGGTGGGACCCGGGTTCGATCCTTAGCACCACATAAAAATACAGGCATTGTGTTGTGTCCCATCTACACCTAAAAAATAAATGTTAAAAAAAAAAAAAAAAAAAGAATAAGTGTCTCCAGGCATGGTGGTGCACTCCTGTAATCCCAGTGGCTCAGGAGTGTGAGGCAGGAGGATCACGAGTTCAAAGCCCACCTCAGCAAAAGTGAGGCTCTAAGCAACTCAGTGAGACACTGTCTCTAAATAAAATACAAAATAGGGCCAGGGATGTGGCTCAGTGGTCCAGTGCCCCTGAGTTCAATCCCCAGTACTCAAAATAAATAAATAAAAATAAAAAAGAATAAGTGTCCAGAAACCAACCAAATAAACAGTTCTTTTACTATCTCTCTAGAATATTATTCATCTTCGCTTTCAGTGATGACATATTAGAATCTCAAGCTGATAGCTAATTATTTCATTGGATGAAAATCTGAAAAACACAATTGAATCCTGTTGTACATGTCTCATTATTTTATAGATAGAGGCACATGTATATCAAATTATCTGCCACAAAACATGGAAACAAAAACCATAAATACCTTATGTAAAATGATCAAGTCTGAGGATATTGACTTCTCAAACCTCTTAAACCACTGTTTTTTTTTAAAATACGTGTCCTATATTATCAGATTTTTATTTTATCAATTCATCTTTTAACATGTATATTTTTTGAATGGTACCTTATGTTGATAATGGCTATTTTGAAATTTAAATAAACGTTTTCACGATTAATTTGTTCTCTGGGTTTACCTAAGCAAATAGCCCCTTAAATGCCTTTTGGGACTCTGACTGGAAAGAAAACATTGTCTTTGGAGAGGCTTGCCAAGCTCTGTTAATGAAAAGCAAGCCATTTGTTTTCTTTGCTTCAGGGTGTATTCTGAGTGTGTTGGTAATTGTGCCATTGCAGCTGTATTTCCTGACTGTTAGTTTTATGCTTGATGAAGGATGATAATTAATGTGTTAAACACTTGGTGCATCCTGTTTGGAGGGAAGACTCTTGCTGCAGTATTGCAGGGATAAAATTTGTACCCTAAGAAGTTCAAAGTTTCACTTCAAGTGAATCTTCCTCTAAGAAATATATAGTAACTTCTTTAAAGCTAATTTTATTATAAGAGTGAATTGAGTCTCCACCTCATACAACTTGAAAAATAACCAAGTGACTCTTAGGACATTTTTGTGGTGATGTTTTATGTGAAAACAGCTATTGCTTTTTACCCAGGCCTGATGTAATTATATTGATTCTACCTTTATTAGCATATTCCTTCATATTTTAATTTTATAATTAATAAATAATAACTTTTGTGGCATTTTAACTTTATAGAAAAGTTAGCTTTGAAATTTAAAATTACAAAAAAAAAGTTTTTAAATCTAATAATTGTAAACAGCTCAGATTTAAAGAGACTATCTTCTAAGTAGTTTCTAGTAAAAGAAACAATTCCCTCAACTTATTTTCAGACAACACTTTTTCATTCATTAACATGCTGCTAAACATGCACATTTTGCATGCATTATCATTAGTGTATGAATTTTACACTGATTCCAGATCATCTGGGAATGTCTGTCTTCACATGGCAGAAATTACCAAGTCCTGAGGACATGAATGGAATATGTTACTTGCCAGATCTTGAAAGCATTGCCCCTTCTTTGGGAAAAGTAATTGAGACTGAGTGTAAAGCATTTTTAAAAAACTAAATGAAATCCTGTCTTATTAGGAAGGCAGAAGCCTGTCTTAAATTGCCAACCCTCAGATGTGGTTCTGTTCACTCCCTCCTTCTAGGATCTTATTTACTTACTCATTTCTCCATGGACCCCAAAAGGGCATCAGCTGAAAAAGAAAAAAGAAAAAAAAAAAAGCCCCTTGGAAGTCAAGTGTCTTTTCCCTGAAAAATCTAAAATTCTGTTTGTGTCAATGATGGTTTCCTCCTCTCTCTCTCTAGCATCCTGGCAATGAGTGAGGTGGGCATCTTCACAGAAGAATGAGGACTGGGCCCTTTGCTGCCCAGTGGACACTCTTCCAGGGCTAACTCAGGGGAAGGCATGTCCTCGAGTGCCTGTGTTTAATAAAAATGGTCAGTAGTGAAGTATATCCTGTGACATGCTCCACCCCCTGTATTTTTAGAAGAAACACCAGGTTTTTACTCTGCTCTTTACGTTCGTTCTCTGCTCATGTGATAAAGAAAAGTTTGTAAAAGCACAAGCTGCCAGACCTGGTTTTGAGTCCAGCTCTGCCACTGCCCAGCTGTATGATGATGGTGGAGATGGTGGTAGAGCTGGTGTGACGGTGGCACTGGTGGTGGAGGAAATAATGGTGATGGTGGGTAGTGATGGTGGTGGTGGCAAGGGTGGTGGTCACAGTGGCGAAAGTTCCAGTAGCACAACTGGGAGTGGTAAGGGGCATGAACTTGCCAAGAATTCTGTAGTGGATCCAGAAGTCAGCCATTGAGAGCATCCACACAGGAAGGCGTATTGAGGTTGCTAGGTTCAGTAGCTCAGCTTAAGTTACTTTTATCCTCACTGTTTTCATTCTAGATTGTTAGTTTTGTAGTAAGCTTCACAGGCAAGCCCGTGACTGGCAGCACGATAAGAGGTCTCCCCAGACCTTGCCTCAGGGTAACCCAACCCACTCCCTCCCTGGCTCCCACAGACACTCTGGCAGCTCCATTCTCAAACCTGTCCTTCAGCCCTGCAGGCCTTGGTCTAGCTCACAGAACTCCCACCAGGGCTAGGAGAGGGCTGGGCAGGCCTGCAAGCCAGCAAGGCAGGAGGGCTTGCCTTTTTTGTAACAGGGCTAATTCTAAAACATGCAATTTGGCTTTTGCAACTGGCTCTTGATCTGTGCCAAGGCTTTAAGGAAA